AAACCATCAACTTGTGATGTGTAACCATTCTTACCACATTCACCCACCCCTCACCCACACGCACGCACGCACACACACACGTACCCCCCCAAACTGTCAACATGTGTAGCTATTCTTCACACACACCCCCTGCTCAAGCTGTCAACATATATGGCTATTCTTCCCACATTTGCACGCACGCACGCGCGCACACACACACTGGTCAAATCATCAACATGTGATGTGTAACTATTCTTACCACATTCACACACACACACACACACATACACACACCAGTTTCTCTCTCTCACCCCCCCCCCAAACTGTCAACATGTGTAGCTATTCTTACACACAGACACACACACACCCTGGTCAAACTGTCAACATATGTGGCTATTCTTCCCACCTTCTCACATATATACGCGGACACACACACACACACACACACACACACACACACTGGTCAAACCATTAACATGTGATGTGTAACTATTCTTACCACATTCACCCCCCCCCAAACACTCCCCCTTCACACTGTCAGCATCTGTGGCTATTCTTCTCCCTGTTCAGAAGTCATTAAGGGACACCTAAAACAGGTGAAACAGCCCAGCTTGTCACCATAATACCACAAACCTTTCTGCCTCTTTCCTTTTTTGTTAAGTTCAACTCTTAAACCTTCTCTCTCTTTTTTCCCCCTGTTGGTTCACTTAGAAATGGTTCTTTTTCTCTTCCAACCAAATCTTCCCCCTCACAACAAAAGGGTCTAGGTTGGGAGTCATTATCTGGGTGTAAAAACCGCCTTCTGGCCAGCTATTCCTTACATTTTGATTTTCAGATTAGTCCATTAAGAAAGGGAGGGTGGGTGCCAAAAACATGGAAAGTGCATCAGCAGCCAGCAGTGACTGGGTTCCAAACTTTTTATTTAGAGCAATCGTGCACAGAGATGGCTGATAAATTTAGCTGCATGCCTCTAAGTCGCCCTCTAAATTTACATGCTTAAGTCATCTTTCTTTTCTATGGGATTCGAGCATAATTGAATGAGTTGTCTCTGAAATAAAAAGATTCACACATGACCTTTCGCATGGTCCAGCTTTTCAATTCTCTCTGAATCTCAGCACCACAAGATGAGGCATCTTGCTTCCTTCTTGAACAAAACAATCTTCCCACAGTTTTGTTTTGGCCCAAGTAGGATCTGTTGCTCCTAGCATTATTCTTTTATCCCCCCTTACCCCGTTTGAATTTTTAAACATACCTGGCTATTTGTCAGGTTTTCTGGGAAACATCTTCAGCTGCGAATATATAGCTGGGCTTTTTTTTTTTTTATCAATTGAATTACCCCACAGGGGAACACTTTATTACATACATTGTACCTGTCATCATTATTGTCTACATTGATTGCCCCATCCTAATGCCCAGATTCAGGAATAAAAAAGAAAGTGTCATCTTCCACTGATGCTTCCTAAGAATATTCTTCCAAAACTCACTGCTCTGCCAATCCACAAGTAGTGTAAACTCTGAAAAACCCTAAAGCCATTTCTTTTACACAATGCTGCCTCTCTGCAGAACTGCCATCCTTGTAGATGTATGTCACCCCTTCCTCTCCCTCACCCACATTACTGGAGACAAACCTGAGGAAGGCCTACAAAATGACTCAGTTTTTAATCTCCTGGAGTGGGGAATCACTGGGTAAAAGAGCCAGCAACAGAAATCTTTCCTGTGGCTAGCAAGTGCTATGCTGCAGTGGCGACAGTCAAAGGGTTAAGTATCTGAAGACCATCCCGGAACTCCGCAACTGCAGTCAATGCAACAAAAAGAAGGGGCAAAATAACTGGGTTGCAAGCAAATTGTTCTGCCTAGATGAGCTGGCTACCTCTGATGGGAGGTAAACCAACCAGAACCAGACATTGTGCACAACTTGAGGGGTTTTGCCCTGTACTTGTGCCTGGATCTGTGTATGATCAACACGCCTTGTAATTTGAGATGTGACACCTTAATCTTGCCAAATATGTGTGCACTGTAAAAAGCATTGCAGATAGGGTGTTTTCACAGCTACAGAAAACGGAGACACAGTCAATACTTCTCAGTTTTCCCAAACCTTCCTTTAAAAGATTTTAAATTGCTCCTGAAATAGTTTTTTCCCCTTACCCGTTTGTATGTGCATTTATTTCCTGCATTTATTCTACATTTCAATCTTCTTAGAATAATTTAAAAATAAAATAAAATTCTGAGAGCTGATAAAACTGAGAATGGTCAGCTTGGTTTAATGTCTTCTGCCTTAATTTAATATGTAACCTTTATGTCAGAAGTTCTGATGATAAACAATTGTATTAATTTCATTATTCAGTTCAGTCTTCAAAGTAGGAGATTTCTTGGAAGAATTACAAGTATTGTCTGAACATGCCAAAAAGCAGTAAATTAATTTCTGTTGTTTTAAGCGGTGGCCATTATTATGGCTTAATCTGATTATTTTAGGCCTTGGTCAGGCTTCAAACAAAACCAAACCAAATACAGTTTTATATATACATCTTTAAATGTATGCATTCACAAATATCCATCGATTTACATTAAATCTGATATTAGTAACAGGGTATATGTTTGTGCTGTACACAAACATATGAGCTATTCAACAATAAGTAAATAGATGCCTAAAGTTATTCTTTCATAGGTTTTACCTTTATCTTGACTGATTAGAAAAGGAGGGATTAGGGCTGCCCACTAAGTGTTAGCTTTTGCAATAGCACCACTTTGTGGTTGAAATACTGAATAGAAGTTGAAAGGTGTGGAATGATCTGCATGTGACTGCATTTCATCAAGCTTGTAGTGTTTCCATGGTGGCATTGATACACACACTGACAAATACACCAACCTGCAATAGGAATGTGTTACAACACATTTAATGAGCCATTTCATTAAAAGGTAGTTTTGGGCTAAGGGGTAGAGTAAGAAAGGCAAAACAAAGAGTTGTTTTCTCCCTAACCAGTTTCCCATGTTGCATTAATTTCACATTTTTATCTAATCAGCTTGCTTAAATAAAAACTTAAGATCAGGAGGTTGTTTTTCTTTCAAGTGTCAACATCACTTTTGGAACTAATTTTGAAAAGTCAGTGAAGGAAACAAAAACAGATTGTCAGGAAAGATTTTCTGTGGCATGTGTTTTTAAACCATTTTTAAGTGAAAAGTGGAACAGTAGAGATTTTCTTTAATTGAGGAAAAAGTGGTGGTGGGCTATAAATCTGATTGGATTGCTTAAAATAAAGACTAACGGTTTGTTTCTGCCCTGATGTACATGGATGTAACCTCACTTATACTGTTGGAAAGCTGTGCACTGGCACCACAGCTGAAATTGATATATGTGGTATGGCCATACTGGGAATGTTCAACACTTCTTTCTCATGTTGCCCTTGTTTGCACCCAGTCTAGACAAATGACAAGTGCTAAAATGTCCAACTTAAGCCACATACCCAGTTAGTATCACACAGTACTGATAGACACTGGAGTTCATTTAAAAAAAATCTGATTTGTGCTTAAAATAATTGGATCAACTACACAGTAAGGATAGACAGCCAAGTAGTAAACACACCTGTGCTCATGCCAGGAAAAATGCTTAAATAGGACACTGTGTTCAGATCACAGCTTGCAAGCCTTCCTTGATTAAAACTTTCAGTTCAGTCAATGCATAGAGATAGCTTTAAAGTGTCAGTATTTATGTAGCACCAATTTTTCATAAAAAAGAAGTGTGGAATCCTCTAAACTCTTCCTCTTGCACATACCAGGAATTTTGCACTTCTGAGGATTTCCAAAATCAGGTTCTGCACATATGTTAAAAATAAAAAGGGCCACGTTTTTCAATTGGCTTCTAACTACAAGTCCCCAGTACTCTCTGCCATGCAGCAATTTGCAGTTATTATACTAGATCTGAACCCAGTTTTCAGACACAGATCTTACTGTGCTTAACAAACACTATAACTTACCATATTTCACAACATCCCTTTTCAAAACTATCATGATTGGTATCCTCTGCTGCCAAAATGCAGCCATGGGTGGATCTAAGATTTTGTAATTGGGGGTGCAGATGGTGTTGTGCATCATCACATATAATGCAACACATTTTTCTCCTGGTAACAAGAAACTAGAAACTTTACTAATATGGTAGGGGCCTAGAGCCATATTATTCAGTTTAAGATTGAAGCAAAAATAAATATACCTTTATTGAAATGTGCATTAAATTGCTAGATATAATTTGCTATATTATGTATTTAAAAAAAACACAATAAACTAGGCAAAAATACTCAAAAGATGTTGCTTCTTTAGTCCTGTAGTCATTAGAATTAAATGTATCCCTCCTTCAGATTCATAAACAAAATCAAGCTTTCTTGAGCATCTTGACAATGCATCCAATGCTTCACTGAGAGCTATTTCCACAAGTGAGGTAATTTTCACCTGAGTTCATGTTTCCATACCTGCGTTAATGTTTTTAGCTAGAATTAAAAATAGTCCTGAACTATTTCATAAAAATATGAAGGCTGTGAAC